GGTCAAAGTCGTAGCTGCTACTTACCTGAAAGGGCAGAGTCGTAGCTGCTACAGTACCGAAAGGCCAAGTAGAGGTTTCTAGAAGTGGCCTTTCAGAAGTCAGCCCACTGTAGGTCCAGGCAAGTGGGCAAGTGGTGGAAGTCCACCATGCAGAGTCAGCAGTCCCAGTCCAGTCAGTCCGGTCCAGTCAAGCAAGTACCGTCTGGGACTGTGTACACCGTGGGCCAGGGAAACAGGGCAGACCAACGAGTCACAGAAGTATAAATCAAGAGGCCGCGCACAGCCATTCATTCATTCCTGCGGAAGCCATGCGGAAGCGCTGCCTCAGCGTCTTGTGCGGGGAGGTCTGCAGTAGGCCCGAAGTTAAGTGGGCAGAGAAGCGTAGCATAGCGATAGGGTAGAGGCAGCTAGCGCTGCCATAGCTATAGTAGTGTGTGTGTGTGTGGTGTGAGGGTTCAGAGTAATGCGTGTGGGATATCCAGGGTGACCCAGAGTGTGTGAACACTGGGTTGTTGGGCGCTCAGTCGCCATAGCCAGTGGAAGTGAACTCTTACCTGGAGGCCATATCTCTGAGTATTGTGTGGGCACATGTCGCCAAATTGCTGTGCTGCTGCTCACGTGCATGAAAAGTGTGAATGAAACGAGACTGATTGCATAAGGGCTGTATTCTGTAGTCGTGCAATCTTACCTGCCCCTCGATAGATAGCTTGTCCAAAAGTTTGTCATCATTTCCTGTGCTTTTTTTTTTTCTTGTTGTTTTTCGCATTGCTCTTTTGGTCCTTTTCAATGGAGCGGTGAACTCACCGTCTCTACATTGTTGTTTGGCTTTGGCTTTGGCTCAGTCCCCAAGCCTCATGGCTTGTCATTTCGCTTTTGTCTATCGTTTCCTGGCATCTATTCTTCCACACTATCCAAAGGAGCCACTTTTTGCAGCGTTCCTAAGCGTATTTTTCTCAGAAGCAGTCCATGTCTGAGGTACATCGAGCCCTGGCTGCCCTGCTAACAGTAGCAATCATATCATTTGGCCAACAGGGAAAAAAAAGGAGGCCCGGACAGCATCTGGACCTTGACTTCCAGACCCAGACATCCAGATGGGGTCTGGAATCCAGACGTTGAGATGGTGGTAACCATCGATGAAAACATTCTGCCAGTGGTTTTCTGGGTGTACTAGATGGTCGTCCAGCCGTCAGATGGGAAAGATGCCCACAAAATCCCTTTTTGTGGGAGGTGTGTGGTTGTTTCCGGGGAACTTCCCAGCTGTGCGCTGAGATGATTTCAAGCAGTTCGCATTATTTTTAATTTCGTTTCATTTGGGAATTTTGGGGATTTAACCTAGTTCGTTTTGCAGTCTGGGATTTGTCAATGCTTTTGTCTGGTGGAGTCATAGGGGCCCTTTTAAGGGGTTGAGCTAGAGTCAGTAGGCAGTAGGAAACCCCACCACCGCTATGCCCGAGCCCATGTTTTCTGATGCTCGATTTTGCCCGCCCTGGGCTACAGCTACATAATCATTGAGGGGGTAGGGACTACGGCGGCGGCGATATGCGTCACGTTTGTGCGAGAGCTTCTTGGACAGGCAGGGACCTTTTTGTATTTGGCGATGATCCTGTCCTGTTCATAAGTCAATGCCATTCATTGCAGCACAAAGAGGAGAAGAATGAGTTCAGTAAAGAAGATGAATGAAGAAGAAGAAGAAGAAGAAGAAGAAGAAGAAGAAGACAGAGGAGAAGAAGGAGAAGAAGGAGAAGAAGAAAGAGGAGAAGAAGAAGGAGAAGGAGGAGAAGAAGGAGGAGGAGGAGGAGGAGGAGAAGAGGGAGGAGAGGAAGAAGAAGGAGGAGGAGGAGAAGAAGAAGCTGGAACCAATGTGATCTCCCTCCTTCACTCGCCATCATCATCTCCCTTTCATCATCTCCTCCTGTTTATTCGTAAAGAATTACAATAATATGAATGAATGAATGAATGAATGAATGAATGGATGGATGAACAAGAATCAATATCCGAATGACCACCCTTACCACCGGACTAGAAGAGCTCTCCTTTAGCTCACTCCTCTTTCCTCCTTTTGGTCTGGCTAGTATCTATGGCGGCTCATCCTAAGCTACCTCGGATGTTCGAAGGACAACGCACCTCTCCTATCTATCACTGCCATGGCTGCCCTGCGGATGAAGTCCATGTCCAGCCAGTACCCCAGCAGTGGCCTTCTTGAAGCAGCCAGAATCAACCAGAAAGATGGAGATGTAAGTCCACCATAGCCAAAGATAAGCCTCCTTGGCGGTTCCCATCTCCCCCCTCCTCTTTCAACCTCACTTCACCTCCATAGACCGGCTTGAAGGTCTTCTCCCTCCATCTCTACAGCCTAGGGGTTCTCCTAACTCTCTCTACTACTAGTACATAGCTATGGAGGTCCGCTTTCTCACCCTCAAGCTCCACCTTCACCTCCAACTGCTTTGCCAACCTCTCCCTCTGGGTGGAGCAGCTGGAGCAGCAGCATGACTGCTTGGTGAACGCACAGACAACTCATTGCACCGAATGATATACTCTAAACCTGACTACATTCAGGACCTCTACGCTGCCCCGCCTCCAGTTCCTCTCGTGCGGGCTCGACCTGCCTCATCCTGGCCCCCCTTGGGTGCGCAGCACTAGGCGTTCCGGGTGTCCCTGCTTTTGGCGGGAACATAATTCCAGTCTGATATGTACCTGCATGGATGGAATCTACCTCTGAACCTGACTATATTCGGGCCCTGGCCATCATGACCTACTACTGGATCCGTCTAGGCTTAGCCGAGTTGCTGTAAAATCCGTACCAGGTCCCTAGGAAATTTTACTTTGGTCCTTGCACTACCCTCAATATGTCCGCACAGCTACTTTTTCTGCCGCGTCCCCCTGAACACAACATGGCCAACAGGATTAGCACACGGGCGCGGACTGGGACCCATAACTCAGCAGGCAAATACACAGCATGCATGCATGCCGGCATACAAGAGCAGCACTGCAGCAGCACTGCAGCACAGGTCACATACATAGTTAGAAAAACCAGCAAACATAGTCAGCAGACTCGGACTTCTCAGCAATCAGATGAAAAGGACAGCATTTCTGGAAAAAAAATGCAGAATTCTCAGACTGCAATTGCGCAGGTCGTTGCAATTGTTGTTATTTTCCTTATATGTAATAAATGGGTTGACGAGATTCCCACTGTCCCTATCTACCATCTGCGAAACCACAGCCAAGGGAACGGGCTTGGAAGAATCAGTAGGGAAAAATTATGAAAAAATCAAGTAAGGAGAGAGAGAGAGAGAGAGAGAGAGAGAGAGAGAGAGAGAGAGAGAGAGAGAGAGAGAGAGAGAGAGAGAGAGGGGGGGGGGGGGGGGGAGGGTGGGGTGGGGGAGGAGAAGAAGCAGAGAG